CACCTGCTCAGGCGGGTCTCGAACCCGTGGGCTCAGGCAATCCACTCACCTCAGCCTCCCAAAGGCGCGGGATTACAGGCTGAGCCACCGAGCACGGCGTGTTCTAAATCTTGATGGGGATTGTTCAGGTGTGTGAATTTGTCAAAGTTTATCAAAGGGTACATTTATGATTTAATGTAGTTCATCATATGTGTTTTACCTCATGTGTTTTGCCGCAAAAGAAAGGAGTACTGTAAATAATTACCAAGCTCTAACTAATGAATCACATCCTGAAACATTTAAGGGGCATTTGTACTGATGTCTGCAACTTACTTCGAAATGCATCAACAATTAAAGGCGATTAGGTTGGGCAGAGTGGCTCATGCCTGTAATCCCAGCACTTTGGAAGGCCAGGCTGAGAGGATTGCTTGAGGCCAGGAGTTTGAGACCAGCCTGGGTAAGATAGCAAGACCTCGTCTACCAAGAAAAAACAAAAAACAGGTGTGGTGGCACATGCCTGTAATTCCAGATACTCAGGAGGCTGAGGTGGAAGGATTGCCTGAACCCAGGAGGTCCAGGCTCCAGCCTGGGGGACAGTGAGACTCCAACTTAAAAAAAACAAGAATAGGCCGGGCTCTGTGGCTCAAAGAATAGGCCCAAAGCCTGTAATCCCAGCGCTTTGGGAGGCTGAGGTGAGTGGATTGCCTGAGCCCGTGGGTTTGAGACCCGCCTGGGCAACTTGGCGAGACCTCATCTCTACAATAAATCAAAAATTAGCCGGGCATGGTAGCACGTGCCTGTAGTTCCGGCTACCCGGGAGCGGCCACTGCACTCCAGTCTGGGTGACAGAGTGAGACTCCAACTCGGAAAAAAAAAAAAACAAAAATAAAGGAAGTACAGTTAAATGCTAAAGGTGTCAGGAATATGTGTGTTCACTGTACAATTCTTTAGACCTTTCTGTATATTTGAAATTTTTTATAATAAAATGTTGGGGAAGATACGCCCTCCCAACAGTATATACCTGGCAAAACAAAGTCACAAGAAGATACAACTTAGACAAAATGTTGCCAGCGGTGGTGGTGGGGAAGTCAAGTATAATAGGGAGATATAAAGGAATGAATGAATGAACAAATTAAAATCCTGTTGGTATAATCAAAACTTATGTCCAGCTGGGCTCGGTGGCTCAGCCTGTCATCCCGCGCCTTTGGGAGGCTGGGATGAGTTAATTGCCTGAGCCCGTGGGTTCGAGACCCACCTGGGCAACTTGGAGAGACCTCATCTCTACAATAAATCAAAATGAGCCAGACGTGGTAGCGCGTGCCTGTCGTTCCAGCTACTCGGAAGGCTGAGGCGGAAGGATCACCGGAGCCCAGCGGGTCAAGGCTGCGGTGGCCGGGAGCGGCCACTGCACTCCAGTCTGGGCGACAGAGTGAGACTCCAACTCAAACAAACAAACAAACAAACAAAAACTTATGTCCAGCCAGCACACTCCAGTAGGGCTGTGCTGATTGATAACATATTGATATACTTTCTGCTAGTCCCTAAACAGCCCCTGTCCCTGGGGCCCCTGAATGATCCCCATTCTATCTGTTTCAACCATGCCCCTAAGCTACAGCCACATTTGCTCTGATCCTTCTAAGCCTGGGAATTCGTGGTAGTTAAATACGCGGAACGTCCCACATGTGGGTGTCTGCTATATCCAAGTCTAAGAGAGCCTGCTTCCCGGCACTCCCCACTCGAGGTCCTTACCTGCCCAGAGTCCATGGCTTCTGCCAGCCTCTCGGGGCTCAGTTCCAAGGAGGCCCCAGGCCTTGTGACCCACAAGGAGAGCTCCTTCTGAAATTGGGGTTGGTCATGGTGAGGGGAACCTGGTGGGCAGCCATGCCCTCCCCCACCCCAACCGTTATTGTCCCTTACACAGAGCCGAGTGCTGGTCAGTGCTGTCACCTTCAGCTGCATGAGGCTGTTCCCCGCCAGGCCCGGGGTCTCCAGGAGGCCTCGCGACAGGTCCACACAGCGCAGCATGGCTCTAAGGTTCCCCTCGTACCAGGCCTCACTGCCAAGCCAACAGGCGTCAGGGCCTAGAGCCTGGGGACATGCTTCTTTCCATCCACCCAGCCTCCCAGGCTCTGACCCCCTGCTCACCCAGTCTTGGCAGCCGAGTCCGGTTCCTCCTCAGTGGGCACTGCCAACAGAGGCCGGAGGCCTAGAGTCTGGAGCTGCTGGACACAGCCCCTCACCTCCTCTGATGTCTCACCAGCCACAAACTGCCCGTAGATGGATGCTCGGAGAAATACTCGTGAGAGTCGGGAGCCCAGGAGTCGCTGAGACCAGGCCTGGAGCTGGGTGACAGGGAGGGATGGCTCAGAGTCAGGCTGTGGGGACCCTCCAGGCCAGTCCTTGGGGTCACTGCTCACCGCCAGCCCATGGGTGACCAGAGGGGGCCAAGCACACAGCCGTAGCACCAGCAAAGCCCGTGTCAGTTCTCCTGTGCCCTTGAGGTGGAAGGCACCCCCATCAAAGCACAGGGGCTGCCAGCCTCCGGCAGAGGGGCCGACTTGGGAGCAGAGCCCTCGACAGGTCCGGAGCATCGTGAGTTGCTGGCCGCTTCCACGCCAGGGGAAGAGGCTTTGGAGGCAGCAGGTTCACCAACTGCTCCTTGCCCAGCCAAGGGGCGGTGACTGATTAACTAGGCAAATCTTTAGGCTCAAATGCCCCTTTAGGGGCAGTTAATTATTAACTGATGGGAACAGAGTTCAGAGTAACGGTAACAGGAGAGGAACCCCAGTAACAGTCCCTAATATCCCTTAGCACAGCAGTTCCCACTTTTCAGTGCCAACCTCATGCTAGGGAGAACCTGAGCTCCAGAGCAAGGATCCCTGGATTCAAGGTAGTTTAGCTCTGTGATCTTGGACAAGTTACCTAACCTCTCTTTTTGCAATTGCTTCGTCATAAAATTGGAAACAGTGTCGTGCAAATGAATACATTCGGAAACACGCATGACCTATAACCAGATGTCCCATGCTAAGCACATATCCTAGAGACCTCGAACGTGGGCAGCAGGAAACATGTACATGAAAGGACGTTCGGAGGAGGAATGTTTGTAATAACCACACATGGGCACCACCCACATTTATACCCACAGAATGGAAAAATGCATCGTGGTATAGTCATACAATGGAATACTACGCAGTCATGAAAAAGAAAGACTGCTGCTGTACACACCCACATGGCTAAGTCTCACACACACCGTGTTGAATGAAGGAAACCAAACACCAGACAGGACAAGCTGTATTATTCTGTTCAATAAATATGAAATCAGGAAAGATGAAACCACAGTCAAATGTTGCAGATACTCTTATGGGTGGTGAAACTGCAAAATAAGAAAAGCAAAGAAGTGATGATCACAAAAGTCAGAGAAGTGGTTACTCTGGGGGGTGGGAGGAGATGTAACTGGGTAGAGGCATGGGAGCTTCTGTGTCCTATTTTCTTAACATGAATGATGATTCACAGGTGTTCACGTTGTAGTATTTTTTAATTTTTATTTATTTATCTATTTTTATTTTTTGAGTCAGAGTCTCACTCTATCACCAGGACTAGAGTGCAGTGGCACGCTCACAGCCACCGCAGCCTTGAACTGCTGGGCTCAGGTGATCCTTCCACCTCAGCCTTCCAAGTAGTGGGAACTACAGGTGCATGTGACCACACCAGTTAATTTTTTGATTTATTGTAGAGACAAGATCTCACCATATTGCCCAGGCTGGTCTTGAACCCCTGGGCTCAGGCAAACCTCATGCCTTGGTCTCCCAAAGTGCTTACAGGTTTAGAGCCACCGCACCTGTATTTTTTTAAAGCCATAATTTGTGTTTATACATTCCCAAATGGACAATACTTGTCACAATGCAAGAAGAGTAAAAAATGTATTGTTTTCTCAGTCTCCTGGGGTTGTTATGAGGATCCAATTTATGGACATATGCAACCTGGTATACGGTATATGCTGAGTAGGAACTGACTGTGGCCAGGCACAGTGGCTCATGCCTGTAAATCCGGCACTTTGGGAGGCTGAGGTGTGAGGACTGCCTGAACCCACGGGTTCGAGACCAGCCTAGGCAACTTGGCAAGAACTTGTCTCTACAATAAATAAATACATAATCTGGGTGTGGTAGTGGATGCCTGTAGTTTCAGCTACTTGGAAGGCTGAGGAGGAAGGATCGCCTGAGCCCAGCATGTCGAGGCTGCGGTGGCCGTGAGCATGCCACTGCACTTCAGCCTGGGTGACAGAGTGAGACTCCGACTCAAAAAGAAAAAGAAAAGGAACTGACTGTGATCATTAAGTGGTGTGTATACACAATGTAATTGATGCCTGTCTCCATGCTGAAGTATACAGCATTAATCATCCCTATGGTTCAATAAAGTATATACTGTTAATCACCCTTGGGCTCAATCATTCTCTAGAAGGACTCACAGAACTCAAAAAGCCATTGTACTCACAGTTATGGTTTATTACAGTGAAACGAAGCAGATTACAATTCGCAAAGGGAAGACAGGAGACACCAGAAGTAACTGCTGTTTTTTCCCCCCACCAGAAATAGAGCCTGATTTATTATAGACATGAGACAGGAGACAAAAGAAAAAGTAATATATGAAGTAAGACCAATAATAGAAAGAAAACTGCAAAAATCTTAAAGAAATGTTGTTTCTTTTTCTTCTGGGTCCATTCCTCTGGGTTTCCAAACACCTGGTTTTCGCAAGAGGATCATGATATGATGTTCATCCAAAATAAGAGATCCTACAGAAGCAACTTCTAATCGCCCTCTCCCAATGGGGTCAAGAGAACAGGCCTCAGTTCTCCCGGTGATGATGAGTAGTGACATGCACGGAGAATTGCAACCAGGGAAGCTCACCCGGGCCTTGGTGTTCAAGGTTTTTATTGGAGGTCAGTCATGTGAGCATGGCTGACCACCTGCATGACTGACCTTTTCTCTAGCCTTTCTAGAGATCAAGTTAATACTGCATGTCCTGAGGCCCCCAGATAAACAAAGATCTTCTTATCAAGCAGCCTATTACAAGGGCTTATAGGCTACCTCCTGGGAGCTGAGCAAGATCTTTACTGCACAACCTCCAATTCACACATATTAAAAGGGAAGCAGGGCTGGGCTCGGTGGCTCAGTCTGTAATCCCAGCACTTTGGGAGGCCGAGGCGAGAGGATTGCCTGAGCCGGCAGGTTCGAGACCCGCCTGGGCAACTTGGTGAGACCTCGGCTCTACAATAAATCAAAAACTAGCTTGGTGTGGTAGCGTGCGCCTGTAGTTCCAGTTACTTGGAAGGCTGAGGCGGAAGGATCGCTGGAGCCCAGCAGGTCAAGGCTGCGGTGG